ACGTTCAAATTATACATTCGGCTACTCGTGGCAACCTTTGGTTAATCCTGCAAAGCTGCAGAAAATAGCAAAATAAAATGCACTTGACTAAGAGAGTGAAGCCCAAAGCCAGGTTTATGTCAGTCTTCCCAGCCCCTCCAGGCTTTCTCAGTCTGAACCCCTTTGAAAATCTTGCCAAGAGAAGCAGGCATAACTAGTTTTGTTACTCAACATGAGGCTGTTTCCAGTTACAGTATGGCGATTATGCAAATAGCCTTTTCTTGAAACTCTGAACTCATACGCCTAAATATAATTGCCAGACTATCAGTTTTTTCAGAATTAAAAAAGCTGGCCAGAGCTGGCCATGGTGGTACATGCCTATAACCTCAGCACTCAGGAGGCTGAGGCAGAAGGACTGCCATGAGTTTGAAGCCAGCCTAGACTACATAGTGAGCTCAAAGCCAGCCTGAACTACATAGTGAGACCCTGTCTCGAAAAACAAAACAAACAAACAAAAAAGTTGCCAGGCATGGTGGCACGTGCCTGTAATTCCAGCACTTAGGAGGCTGAGGCAGGAGGATCAAATGTTTAAAACTGGATTATTATTATTATTTTTTAAATTCTCTGCTTCTTTAGACTTGGGAATTAGGATGTCACTTCCACTGAGTCAGACCAAGTATATTGGCCCAGAGGTTTGTGAGGAATTTCTTCCTTCATATGTTTGAAACCATACTGTCCCAACCATTATCTTGAAAACGAGAGGTATAAGACACAAAAATTGAGGCAGCACCAGGTGTGGTAGTGCAAGCCTATAATCCTAGTACTCTGGGAAACTGACACAGAATTTCAAGTTTAAACCCAGTGTGGGCAAGTAAGCAAGACCCTGTCTAAAAAAAAAGCAAACAAACCAAAAACAGCTGAGGATGTAGCTCAGTGTAAAGGCTCTGGATTTAATCTACAGTACCACGAAAAAGGGAAAAAGAAAAGAAAACTGAGCCAGGAATTGTGTGTAACCCCAGCATTCCAGAGGCTGAGGCAGGAGGATCAGGAGTTGTAGCCTAGCCTGAGCTATGTAGGGAGGCCTTGTTGGAAAAAAAAAAAAAAAAAAAAAAAAAGCCTTGTAAAGTTGTTTCCCAGAAACTAGCAAAAGTCATCTACTTTGAAACTATTTTAATGTTTCATCACTATTATATCATTAAATGGAATTAAAATGTTACTTCCCTATTCTTAACTCTATTTGAGACAGGTTCTGACTATACAGCCCAGGCTTGCCCTGAGCTCATGGCGATCCTCCTGCCTCAGCCTTCCAAGGGCTGGGATTACCAGCGTGTGGCACCAGTTTTGATTCTAACGATGTGTGCTAAAAATTGCTCAACTGATAGTGTGATCTCCAGCAAGTCATTTAAATTCCCAGGAATTGTTTTCACAACTGTTACATAAAGTGGATCTTGATTATCTAAAGACCTTTCAGTCTAATACAATGTGCTCTTTCTTTACAGGAACACAGCCCACAGATTATGCTCTGGGGTTTGTGAACAGAGCCTGGATGAGAGCTCCAGCTGGGTCATTTAGAAATCAGAAGACTGCCTTGGAATAAATTAGTTAATCTAACCAAACCTCATCTGAAACAAATGGAATAAGAATATATATCTTTTAGGAGGCTGAGGCGGGAGGGTTGCTTCGTGTTTGAGGCCAGACTGAACTGCATAGTGAGACTCTGTCTCAAAAATGAAACAAAAAGGAATCTAGCTGTCTGTCTGTCTATTTATCTATCTGTCTACCTACTTTCTAGGGTCTTTGTGATGTTAGATGAGACAGTGTATGTTTAAATTACCTAATAGAATACTAGACATATTTAATCACTCAGTAAGTCTATTATCTCCCTGTGGATTCACAAAACCCTAACTTCAGAGTTTCTCAGGACAAGCTCCTGCTCTGTGCTCAGAGGTTGCCCGTGTGTCCGGAGAACTGAGGGCGTCATGTTATGAAGAGATCTGGGGGCTCAGTGACTTGGTCAGCCAGAGATTTGAACCTAGAGGGCCGAGCACAAGGGGAATCAGCCACATGAAGCTGTCTCTGGCTTGAAGCTTCCATCTACCCGGAGCCGCTTGGGAGCTGAGAGAACGGCTAGGAAAGACATCCAGCTGCTGCACTGCCGAGAAGTGAGGGTGCTGAGTGCACCAGATCCTGTATCATCCCTGTGGTAAAAGATGTCAAAGAGGGCATTAGCCCCAGGAATTCTGATTGCTGAAGGACCATCGCTTTGCTATGAATGCTAACAACATTTCTGAAGGTAAAATGTCCATTGAAGAGCCTTGATACTTCTCAGGAATCATAAAGTTTATCTGGAAACACAGACTGTTGAGAAAACAGCACAAGAATACCATGTAAAACTGGAAGATACACGCCCGTAATCCCAGCACCTGGGAGGCTGAGGCAGGAGGACTGCTGTGAGTTTGAGACCAGCCTGGGCTCCAAAGTGAGTCCAAGCCCAGCCTGAACTGCAGAGAAAAAGCCTGTCTAGAAAAAAAAAAAAAAGATAAAACTGGAAGATGTGCCCAGGGTGGTGGTGCATGCCTGTGATCCCAGCACTTGGGAGGCTGGCCTGGACTACATGGGGAGACCCTGTCTCAAAAAACAAACAAACCGGAAGATATAAATTTGTTTTTCAAATATTTTGTTACTTTTTTGATGTTTTGAAACAGGGTCCAGTATGTAGCCCAGGCTGACCTCTCACTCACAGTGACCCTTCTGCTTTTGTCCAGGACTTTTGTTGTTTTCTTTCTTTTTTTTGAGACAGGGTCTCATTATATAGTTCAGGCTGACCTTGAACTCACTATGTAGTCCAGGCTGGCCTGGAACTCTTGGTGATCTTCCTGCCTCAGCCTCCAGAGTGCTGGAGTAACAGGTGTGGGCCACTGTGCCCGGCACATCTGTTACTTTTGAAGTCAAGCTATTTCCTCTTGAAAACAAGAAAGCAATACAATCAAAATGAAGAAAACTTCAAAATTACTTTTCTGTACTTTCATCACTTGTCCAGTTTTCGTGCTTCTTTTTAGCATATGAAATTACAGACACGGGCTGGGGAGATAGCTCAGTGGCTGGCAAGCGTGAGGTCCTGAGTTCGATTCCCGATGCCAAATAAAAAAATTACAAGACACGGCAGAGCGCATGCTGCTCGTAGCTCTGACAGCACACCAAAGGAGCTCTTCATTTCCAAGGGCTGCTGATAGAAAGTGTTTTTTCTTAAAACTTGAATTTGGTCCTGATGGGGTTCTTGTATATCAGCTCGACTAATCCCCTCTATAAATTTATTATATGTGAAAGAAATAATATATTATTTTGGGTACAGGATAACAGACTGAGGCAGGAGGATGGCTTTTTGAGACAGGGTCTTGCTCTGCAGTTCAGGCTGGCCTTGAGCTCACTTTGTAGCCCAGGCTGGTCTCGAACTCACAACGATCCTCCTGCCTCAGCCTCCCAAGTGCTGGGATTACAGGCGTGCGCCACCATGCCTGGACTATAACAGCTTCCTTGACTCCTAAAACTGCGGCCTTTTGTTGTTAGGAAACAAACTGAACAGTGTGGTAAGATAACAGTATTTCCAAATACTTTGAGAATAAATTCCTGCTTTTAAAAATTTTTTTGGAGACAAGGTCTTGCTATGTTCCCCAAGCTGTCCTTGAACCCTATGTACACCACATTGGCCTTGATCTCACAGTGATCCTCCTGCCTCAGGCTCCTGGCTGGGATTACAGGTGTGCACCACCATACCCAGCTGGTTTTCTACTATGAAATGAATACAGTGCTGTTTTAAATCTAACGGTTAATGTGAAGATATATACAAATGTCTGAGAAATGCAAAGTATTTTTTTTTTTTTTTGTATTTAAGAGTAAATGCTAGCTGGCTGTGGTGGCACACACCTGTAATCCCAGCACTCAGGAGACTGAGGCAGGAGGATGGCTGTGAGGTGGAGGCCAGGCTGGGCTACACAGTGAGTTCAAGGCCAGCCTGGACTACATAGAGAGATTGTGTCTCAAGAAACCAAACCAAAACAAAATACCCCAAAACTTCCCCCACTACAACTTTTAAGAATCTGATTCTGTCATAAAGCACAGTAGTATATACTTGGTGGTCACTTGGTATTGGAACGCCTAGTGGATTTTAATTTCTCCTATTTTGCTCAAGTGATTATACATACACAGGAAGCACTCACTACTTGCATGACAAGCTAAAAACAGGAATCTAAAAATTAAAGGTGGCTAGTCTATCGGCAATTTTCGTTAGCATGTTCCTCTATAACTTTCATAAAGAACAGGGAGAAGGAGAGGTCCTGCTGGCGAGTCCTTCCACCGACGAGCTGGCAGTACGTTTGAATGAGTAGAAGCTAAGTTTCCTCACAGAGCTGGGAGAAAAAATGCCAGCGCTGAGAGTCCAGAGGCGGGATGGAACGGAAGGGCACGCGCCAACGCCACACAGCAGTCAAGTTTCCCAGGATTCCCAGCTCAACCTGGAACGAATGAACTATTTCTCAGAGCCTCCTTCTGCTCACCTGCCGAGGGAGAGTGACAACACCCACTTTCTATTTACCAGATTGTTGCAAGCATCACCTGGCGCAAAGAGCCTAGTGCATTGTTTCATAAGGATACTACAGCTCTTATCACGGCAAGTATTTGCCTTGAATTTCCAGTGGGAAACATCTGACACCTTTCAGCAACGCAGTGCTCGGTAAAATTAGTCCCGTGGACCAGCAGGTGCAGCGTGGCAGCCACGGAGTGTCCCGCAGAAGGCCGATTCCCGGCCCGTAAGGCTTACGACCGTTGTCGTGGCAACCGCCACACCTTCCCGCCTCCCCAAGGGTGGCTTCACCTCGCGCTAAACCGTAAGTCTACAGAAGGGAGACTAACTGAAGGGCCCCGAGGTGGCCAATTTAGGTCCTGCGGTGGCTTCCCGGGGTCGCATGCTCCAGCCAAACGACCACAGACGGACAGTTGCCCTGGGAGACAGCCGCCGTCGCAGCCACCACCCACTCCGGACACTTCCGGCTGTCCCGCCCTTTGACCCGGAAGTGGACTAAAGAGGAAGCAGCTGGTGATGCGGAGGCAAACATGGCGGTCCTGGCCCCCCTCAGCCCCTCGGGCTCCTGCTGTCTGCGTCTGGCCGCGGGCCTGCGGCTGCTTCCGGTGCTGGGGCTGCTGCCGCTGCTGGTCGAGCCCGGCCTGGGCCGCTTCCACCACCTGGCACTCAAAGTAAGGCCGGGCAGGACCGGGACGGGGGCGGAGGCCGAGGCTGCTCCTCTCCGGGACTGGAGGAAACTTCGGCTCCACGGGGCCTCCGAGGGCCGCGGCCGCCCCTGTGTGCTTCCCGGCCGCGACGCTGTCTGGGAGGGAGCGGGCGGGGTGAGCGCGAGGCGCGGGCTCCTCGGGCTGACGGTGGGGGAGGATGCGGCCGGCGGCCCTATGGCCTCTGCCGGCTTCCGTAAGCCGCTCTTCCTGCTGCCCGTAAGTTTCGACTTCATCCCAGCTCTGCGGCCGCGGTCAGCGCTCTCGCGCTCCCTGGTACCGGCGGCTCGAAGGTGTGCTGAATCGTAGCCTCTGTTTCCTGGTTCGGTCAGGGCTCTCGTTGGAGAATTTCCAGGGGAAACAATAACAAAAAGAAAAACAAAAAGATTTGGGCTAGGCGTAGCGTCTTTCTTTATACCGTAGTTCACAGTTAAAAGTCCTCGAAGGCATTCCCCGTCTCTCCAGGTGATTCAGCGGGTTAGGTATCCGGGGAATGGAAAAGTGCATCGTTAGGACTCAGTCTTGTACGTTACCCTCGTAATACACGGTGTTCTAACAAGTTTGTGGGCTGGTACGAAGTTTGTCTTGTGAAGACACAGTCCATTAACCACGAAGCCTTGTATTTTGTGAAGGTAGACTGTTACGCGATCAAGGTTTAAAAGCCCGACCAGACTCATGCAACCATAGTTTGGGTATCAGCTTTTGTTGTTTACAAATGAAAATTATTCTGATGAAAATGGTTCTTAACCACAGGTGAATTTTGGTTCCTTTTGATAATTTGTTAATAGCTGCAGGCTGGCGTGGTGGGGCACGCCTGTAATCCCACCACTCGGGAGGCTGAGGCAGGAGGATCGTTATGAGTTTGAGACCAGCCTGGGCTATAAAGTGAATTCAAGGCCAGCCTGAATTGCGTAGTGAGACCCTGTCCCAAAAAAAAAGCTGTAGAAATTTTTCCCAGGGAAGTGCACATTGAGATCTAAACAGAATGTTCTTGGGATTTATAAGCCCAGTGAAGTATATCCATGGGTCCGTGCTCTCACGTTGACTCTAGAAGCTAAGGGTGGTAGCTTATGCCGATAATCTTAGCTAGTTGAGAGGCTGAGGAAGGAGGATCATGAATTCAAGGCCAGCCTGGGCAACGTAGCTAGACATTCCCTCTCTAAACAAAAACACACCCAAACTCGGCTTTAAAATTCGGCCATTACATAGTTTATGATCTTGAGTCTTCAAGTAATGAGCTGAGTTCATGCACCTTATAAATTAGAGGCAGAACTGTCAGTGGGACACACTGGACTATGTCTCCTAGTTCTTTTTTTTGGGGGGGGGGGTCTTTTTGAGACAGGGTCTCCCTATGCAGTTCAGGCTGGCCTTGACTTACTTTGTAGCCCGGGCTGGTCTTGAACTCACAACAATCCTCCTGCCTCAGCCTCCCGAGTGCTGGGATTACAGGGGTGCGCCACTACACCTGGCCTGTCTCCTAGCTCTTGAGTCCAGTGCTCTTTCTACATTTCTGGAATTAAAATAGAACGTGGCTGGCATCATTAGATAGCCTTTTGATGTCTGTAGGTAGAAAATTTTACCAACCTCTGTGGTAGAAGCAAACAATTTGTAATTCTAGTGATTCATTTCTACCTGTTGTGTTAAATTACTTAATGGTTCCATTTGGTAACGTGTTTCATAAGTATCACTGTGCCCATTCTATAAGCAGCACTGGGATTGTTTTCTCATAAATGTTCTAATGTCTTGTCCAAGGAAATAAAAATCACTGTGAGAGAGCCTGTTGGAACAGCATTAGGTTATTTTGTTTTGCCTGAGATTGAAATAAATTCACAGGTTAGAGACCCAAACTGAAGCAGTCAGTGAGTATCCAAAATATGCTTCGAGCGTTTGAACAAATTATCATGGAGGATTTCAAGTACACCACAGCAAGCAGAGTCATGTCATCGAACCTCACCAACCATCACCCAGTGTCAAATTCTGCCCCATCCCTACACACGTTTTCTTGTTGCCATTTTTTATTTTTTTAATTAGAAAGGAGTCCTTTCATTTTAATTTACTTTAATTACATTCCATCATTCTTCGGTTTTCCCAGATTTCTCACATTCCTTCTCTTTTGACCTTTCTCTGTTTTTTGTTTTTGTTTTTTGAGACAAAGTCTTACTATATAGTTTATAATTAAATAATTAAAAAATTATTTATTACTTTTGCTATATAGGTTTTTTTTCTTTGTCTTTGAAACAGGTTTTCGGTTGAACTCATTTTGTAGCCCAGGGTGGCCGTGAACTTGCAGCAGTCCTCCAGTGCCCACCTGCCAAGTGTTGGGATTATAGCCTTGTGCCACCACACGTGGCTGCTATATAGTTTTTTATTTTTTAATTTATTTTTATTTTTTATTTTTTGCTACATAGTTTAGACTGACCTTGAACTTATTATGTAGTCCAGGCTGGTCTTTTTTTTTTTTTTTTTTTGGTACTGGGAATTGAACTCAGGACCTTGCGTTTGCCAGGCAGGCGCTTGTGCTGCTAAGCTATATCCCTGGCCTCTGGTCTTTTTTTAAAAATTAATTTTATTGATACATTTTAGGTACACATAATGAGATTCATCATAGGGAATTTGTACCTGTACATGATGTATCTTGATTCTAATTTTTTCCTCAATCGCCTTGCGACCTTTCAACCTCTCTTGCCCTCCTTATTTACAAAAGCTTTTTTCCATTTTATTCCTTCTATTCTTTGTTCTTTTCCCTTCCTTTTCCCCTCCCTCCTTCATTGTTCCCCTCCCCATTTGAACATGTTTCTTCCTATTTCCTAATATCTATTATACATTTTGGTCCTTATTTATGCGTTTGCTTGCTCATACCAGAGAAGCCATGCAATATTTATACGTGTATCCAATTTATTTCACTGAAGAGTATGGTCTCAAGGGGCTGGGGATTTAGTTCAGCGGCACAGTGCCTGCCTGGCAAGTTCGAGGTCATGAGTTCGATTCCCGGTTCCGGAAAAAAAACAAAAAACAAACAAAGTATGGTCTCAAGGTGCATCCATTTACCTAGAAATGTCTCAAGCTTATTTTTCTTTATGGCTGAGTAATACTCCATTGTATTAAAAAACAAAACAAAACACAGCTTTGTCCATTTACCAGTTGATGGGCATTTGGGCTGTTCCCAAGATGTGGCTGTTAGAATTGTGCCACTATAAACATGGGTGTGCATATATTGCTGTGGTATGATGCTTTAAATTCTTTCAGGAAGATACCAAGAAGGGGAATAGCTGGGTTGAATGGAACCTCTAATCTTAGTTTTTTGAGGAATCTGCACATTGTTTTCCACAGTGGTTGCACCAGTCTACACTGCCATCCACAATGGAGAAGAGTTCCTTTTTCCCTGCCAGCATTTGTTACTGGTTGACTTCTTGGTGGTAGCCATTCTTTCTGGGGTGAGATGGAATCTCAGTGTTGTTTTAATTTGCATCTCTCCAATGCCAGTGATGTTAAACATTTTTACCTATATTTATTTGCTCTTTGTACTCCTTCATCTGAGAAGTATGTATTCATCTCAGATGTCCAGTTTTGGAGTGGGTCTTTAAATTTGGGGATCTGATTTTTTTGAGTTCTTTATATATTCTGGATGTTAGTCCTTTGTCTGAGCAACAGCTGATAGAATGTTTTTCCCACACTGTAGGTTGTCTCTTCACTCTGTTGGTGGTTTCTCTTGATGTGTAAAAGCTTTTTAACATGATCCCAGTTGTTGACACTTTGTGATAGTTCCTGTGCAGTCAGGATTTTGTTCATAAAAGTCTGCATCAATTTCTTCAGGAGTTTTGCCTGTTCTCTCTTTCAGCAGATTTAATGTTTCTATTTTAATATTTAGATCTCTGATCCATTTTGATTTTAGTTTAGTGCATGGTAAGAGACATGGGTTTTGTTTTAGTCTTTGGCATGTGGAAAGCCAGTTTTTCTAGCACCATTTTCGTTCTTTTTTTTTTTTTTCCCTTCTCTTTCTTTCTTTCTTTTTTTTTTTTTTTTGGTATTTTTGAAACAGGATTTTGCTATGCAATTCAGGCTGGCCTTGAACTAACTCACTTTGTAGCCCATGCCGGCCTTGAACTCTGGCAGTTTTCCTGCCTCAGCCTCCTGAGTGCTGCAATTACAGGTGTGCACCACCATGCCTGGCTTCCAGCACCATTTCTTTTTATTTTTATGTATTTACTTTTTTGGAATTGAACTCAGGACCTTGTGCTTCCAGGCATGGGCTGTGCCACTGGGCTATATCCTCAGCTATATCCTCCCCAGGTAGGCCTTCAACTCATAGCACCATTTATTAAAGAGGCGATCTTTCTTCCAGTGAAAGCGTTTGGCCCCTTTGTCAAAGACAGAGTGGCTGAGTATGTTTGGAGTTGTTTCTGCATCTTTTAATCTGTTCCATTGATCCTGAGATTTGTTTTTCTCTGCCAGTACCATGCTGTTTTTAATCACTGTGGCTTTGTAGTATAATTTCAAGTCAGGGATTGTGATAGCCCATCCAGGCTGGTCTTGAACTCTCGACAATCCTCTTGCCTCATCCTCTTGAGTGCCAGGATTACAAGTTTGCCCTACCGTGGTCCAGCCTTTTTCTTAGGTCCTTGTGTTTCCTTCATGTTTTCCCCCTCCTTTTTGTTTTTTTTTTTGAGACAGGGTCTGTCTGTGTAGTTCGGCCTGACCTTGAATTCACTCTGTAGCCCAGGTGGCCCTTCAATGCATAGCAATCCTCCTGCCTCAGCCTCCTGAGTGCTGGGATTACAGGCATGAGCTACCATGGCCAGCTGGTTCCTCCATGTTCTCTGTCCCATTTGTCAGTAGTCGTGTGGTCATTGTTGAACACTGCTCCACTGCACAGATCGATCACCTTGTGCTTAGCTGCTCCCCAGTCGGCGGTGTTCGGATTGCTGCACTTTTTGACCATGGTGAGTTGTGCTGCTATAGACGCTCTC